GAGAGGAAGAGAGAGAAGGTGAGGGAGAAAGGCTCCAAGGCTCCGGGCGAAGACCTACTTACCAAAGAGAGAGACTCGGTGCCGGACAAGAGCGGCAAGTTTGCAGAAGACGCTGAAGAAAGAGAAAGGGGCAACGGGGATCGAGGAGACCAAGGAGACAAGGACAGAGGAGACACAGTTAGAGGAGGCAGGGGCAGAGGAGACAGGAGACAGAGCCCAGGGGACGTAGGAAGTTGATGAAGACAAGAAGCAGAAGGAGGGAGAGGAGGGGCAGAGGGGTGAGCCAGCTGGAAAGTCATAGGTGATAACTGGGATTTCTGACAGGGTGACCAGCTTGTCCCGGTTTGCCTGGGACTTTCTTGGTTTTAGCACTGAAAGACCCTCACTCCTGGGGAACCCCTCTGTCCCAGGCAAACCAGGACAGTTGGTCACCCTGGCCCTTCAGTCACTTCTGAAGGTAGAGTAGGCAGTGCCAACCCCCAGGACAGAGCCCCGGAGGTTCAAGGTCGGGGTAGGGGGTCCAGGATTACAATCTTGTGAGGTCGGGGGGCTGCGACAGAGGTCACAGGGCGGCCCACCTGGTTATCATCTCCTTCTCCTTGTTGGAGGCATGGCCACCACTGCCCAGCAGTTTGGCGGGTGTGGACAGGAAATAGAGGCAGTGATTGGTGAAATACTGTTTAATCAGAGGCAGCAGGATCTGCGTGGGAAGGAGATGGGGCACGGAGTGAGGGGCGGGAGAGCCCCACCCAGCCCCCAGCCCCCTCCAGCTTCTGAGCCCTCCTCTCACCTTGGCAAAGAATTTAATCTCTTGTTCATGTGGGGATTTTTCCACTCGCCCACTGCTGACCACAGCATCTGGCAAGGGGAGGGGGAGCAAACACGGATTATGGTGGGTTCAAGGCTGGGGAACCCAGGGTGTTCTGATGGGAAGGGACTCTGGGGACAGAGTTAGACAATGATGGGAGTGAAATTCTTGGTATGAAATCTCTGTTGGCTTTGAAATAAGCCTCTCCCCCCTACCTTTCATCTGATCCCCCTAACTCCTTGCTCAAGCCTTTCCTGAGGCTGAAGGTGAGGAGGAGGGCAAATGCAGATGAGGTAAGGCCATGGAGCAGGCTCCTCCTTACTCATCACACTTTTCTTTCTGAACTGCAGTACCTGCAGCTCCCAGCCAGTAAATTTGGAACAAATAAATGAATCAACCAAACGAACAAGAAGTTAATACAGGAACATTAGAGTTAAGTTTAAAATGGAAGTCAACTTCACACATAATAAAAATAGTAATAATAATAATGACAATAGTAATTAATACTATTAAAATAATCATACTGGCCTCCAATTATTAAACACCTGCTATGTCCCTAAAAACCCATTGCCATCAAGTCGATTCGAACTCATAGCAACCCTACTGCACAGAGTAGAAGTGCCCAATAGGGTTTCCAATAGGACAGGGTAGAACTACCCCCATAGGGTTTCCAAGGAGCAGCTGGTGGATTCGAACTCCCCACCTTTTGGTTAACAGCCGGACTCTTATCCACTGTGCCACCAGGGCAGCCCAGGTGGTGCAGTGGTTAAGAGCTCAGCTGCTAACCCAAGATCAGCAGTTTGAATCCAGCAGCTGCTCCTTGGAAACCTATGGGGCAGTTCTACTCTGTCCTATAGGGTTGCCATGAGTTGGAATTGACTCCGTGGCAATGGGTTTGGTTTGCAGCCCTGGTGGCACAGTGGTTAAGAGCCTGGTTGCTAACCAAAAGGTTGGCAGTTTGAATTCATCAGCTGCTGCTTGGAAACCCTATGGGGCAGTTCTCCTCTGTCCTATAGGGTTGCTATGAGTTGGAATCGACTTGAAGGCAACAGGTTTGGGTTTTTTATGTCCCTGGCACTGTGAGAAATGTCTCCTCCCAGCTTTGAGGTTTGACCAGTTGGTCCTCCTCTTCCATTTTATAGATGAAGAAACTGAGGTGAAATAACTCATCGTGGGTAGCCCAGAAAATACATGACAGAACTGAGACTGGTCATAGTGAACACTAACCCCATATCACAGACAGAGAAACCAAGGTTCAGAGAGGGAGGGAACTGGCAAAAGGCTGTGCAGCACAGAGGTCCAGCGTGGGGGCTTTGAGGTGAGCTGTGTGAGGGGGAATCCTGCTCCACCGCTCACCCGAAGGGGGCTTGGGGGCTCCTGGGGTTGCTCTCAATAGAATGTTGGGGGAATGCTGATCTCTGGGCAAAATTAGAAGGGATTGTGGGAGTCCCAGCTGTGATTCTTAGTGGTATATAAGAGGCATCTGTGGGTATCCCAGCAGCCTTAACCTAAATAGATCCAGAATCTGCCTGTTCTCACCCTCTTCTTCCCTGGTCCCCACAATCTATTCCTAGACACAGTCAGAAGGACCCTGTGAACACCCAAGTCAGATCACCTCCCTTCTCTGCTCAGGACCCTCCCATGTCGTCATCCCACTCAGAGTAAAAATGTCCTCCCCGTGGACTGCAAAGCCCTACATGCTCTACCCTGGTGCCTCTTTCTAACACCATTTCCTCTCACTCTTCCCCTCAATCACTGCCTCCTAATACTCATTCCAAGCACCTTTCAGGGCCTTTGCACGGGCTGTTCCCTTTGCCCGTAATGCTCTTCCCGCAGATCCCCGCATGGACCCCTCCCTCACCTCATTCAGGTCTTGGCTTAGATGCCATGTTCTCAGCAGCTCCCACCTTCCCACAGTCCCCTTCCCCCTAACCTGGCTCAACTGTTCTTCTTCCCATAACCCTAACCACCTTCTAACACACTAGATGATTTAGTGATTTGTGATGTCAACTGTCTGAATCCATCGCAGCAATGGCAAGGATCTCTGTCCTGTTCTCTGCTGTATCCCCGACACCTAGAGCAGTGCCTGGCACCCCGTAGACGGTCAACAGGTACATGATGAAGGGGGGGAGGGGAGGGAGGGGGGCGGGAGAGAGAAAAGGAGGGGGGAGAAATGCATGAACTGGGTTCCTAGGTGAACCTTTGCAGGTGGGACTGGCAAGGGGAGGGAATTCCTCGCACCTAGATGGGCGATGAACTCCTGGGAAATGTCCATCCAGCGCAGCAACTGCTTCAGGAAGCCAAAGGCGAACCGCTTCTCGATGGATGACGTGTCCAGTTCCATGTCCTTAAGGCCCCTGCGTGGAAAGGCAGAGGGACGGGTCAGCCCAGACTCAGGTCCCGCCCATTTCCCGCCTCTCTATGGCCCCGCCTCTACCACTATCCCCGCCAACCACTCACTCTCCGCTCCACAGGCCACACCCCTTTTAGTCTCTTCCTCTCTTTGGCCCCGCCTCAGCCCCCCAAGCCACACCCCTCTCAGCCTCTTCCCCTCTCTGGCCCCGCCTCTGCTCCCCAGGCCACACCCCTTTTAGCCTCTTCCTCTCTTTGGCCCCGCCTCAGCCCCCAAGCCACACCCCTCTCAGCTTCTTCCTCTCTCTGGCTCCGCCTCTGCTCCCCAGGCCACACCTCTCTTAGCCTCTTCCCCTCTCTGGCCTCGCCTCCGCTCCCCAGGCCACACCCCTTTTAGCCTCTTCCTCTCTTTGGCCTCGCCTCAGCCCCCCAAGCCACACCCCTCTCAGCCTCTTCCCCTCTCTGGCCTCGCCTCCGCTCCCCAGGCCACACCCCTTTTAGCCTCTTCCTCTCTTTGGACCCGCCTCTGCCCCCCAAGCCACACCCCTCTCAGCCTCTTCCCCTCTCTGGCCCCGCCTCTGCTCCCCGGAGCCCCGCCTCTCCCAGGTTCTGCCCATCCCTGGTCCCCGCTCTCAGCTCGCGTGCCTGGTGACCGCGTAGCCGTTCATCTGCAGGAACTTCAGCAGCTCCTGGGCCTTTTCCCGATCTCGCGCCTTCTCCTTGGCAGTAAGTGTGTCGTAGGGGACAAGCAGGGGGTGGGTTCCACCGCCTAAGACAGCAAAGACCAGGAATCAGGGGGATGGGGAGGGCCCAGGGCACTCTCATTGAAGAGATGCCTGCAGCCGAGGTCGTGCATAATTATAGTATTATAGATAACTCAAACAGTGCTTTCTGTATATTAGCTCATTTCATCTTTATCGCAACCCTACGGTGTCAAATGCTATTATGATCCCCACTACACAGACAGAGAAACGGAGGTTCTAGGAGGTGAAGGTACTTGTTCAAAGTCCCACGGTGGAGCCACAGGTCTAACATTGGCCCTTATGAGCCCGGAACCTATGTCTAAGGGACTGTGGAGAAGAGGTCTGTGCGGGTGGGATGGGCGTCCTCACCCTTGGCCTCCAGCTCCTGCTTCTTCTTCCGCCCCCACGTGTTGTGGTAATTTTCCGCCAGCTGTTCTGCCATGGCCTGGGAGAGGATGCGGAGAGTCAAGGACCAGATCCGGAAGAGATTCCTCCCCACAACAGACCGCCCGCATGCCCCCCAAATAAAGGACCAGGCATCTCACCTGCAGCTCCCGGGACAGGGTAACTCCGCCGAGGTCAGGGGGCTGGGGGTTGTAGCCCTCTCGGGCGTCGTAGGTCTGGGAGGATAAGGAGGAGATGAGGGGCTTGATGGGCTAGCAAGAAGCCCAGGCCAGTCCCTCCTCCAGGCTCCCGCCCCAGCCCATGCCCTTCGCGATTCTTCAGATCCAGGCCCTCTCCACTCCCAGCTCGCTCAGCCTTCTCCTGTCCCCCTCCCGTGGCCCCACCCTCTCTCCCGACCCCACCTCCCTTCCTTGGCTCCTCTCGCCTCTGAATCCCACCTTTCCCCCTCCTGACCCCTCCCCCCCGGCCCCGCCCTGGCCCGGCCTCCACCTGGGCACTCTGGGATATCTTCCGTGTTTGTTTCTTCTCGGTCTTCTCTTCCTCACCCTCCCTGGCCTTCTCTATGGTCCATTCCCAGGCAATCATGGCCTTCAAGGACTCCTTGATGGGCCAGCGGTAAATCTCTTTGTCCTGGGGTGCACAGGAAGAGGGGTTGGTTAATGGAATGGGCGAGAGGGAGGTGGACCAAGGAGTCCCCAGCTCAGCCTCACTGGCCCCCAACATTCTGGGAAGGGGAAAGCTCTTGCCACACAGCTAGGGAGTGGTCTAGCCAGGATTCTAACCCAGGTCCCCCACCCAGATCCCTTATCTGCTCTGCAAAAGAGGCTCCTAACCAAACTCTCATTATTCCCATTTTACACATGGGAAAACTGAGGCTCAGTTTAGTCGTACTAGGAGTCTGGGGTCCTGGAGGCGATGCAACTAAGTTTGAGGGGAGGCAGTGTCCATGGATGGGGACCCCTAACACACAGATCCACCTAGATCCAAAGCTGTGGGGCTGCCTCACCCCTCCCTGAACCCCCAAATTTGGAGGTTTCATTTTGGACCCCAACATTGAGCCACAAGGCTTGGTCACCTTCTCTGAAAAAGTCTTGTAGGGCCTCAGCATGGGGTGAGTCTTCAGTTCTTCGTCTATGTTTTCCCCATAGGACCAGTTGTTCTGGATCT